CCAAGTCTAAAAAGTGCTTTTTTAAAAAGGCAACTGGACTTTGTTTTTCTTGAAGAAACATCTTCAAGAAAAGTCCACTTAACTTTAATACCACTTTAATGGGACATTTAAGCAGTAGTCAGCAACCTTAATGGTTTGGCAGTTTACTAAGGACAGTTTTTATTCCTAAAGTCTCCAAGATCTCCAATATATTTTAACCTTTGTGTTAAGTATGCCACACAAAAGTCTCAATTTGTATGGTACTCTGTAACCTAGAGAGATTTTAATGGCATCTACATAGTGTATTAATCAAATATTCCTGAATCTTGAATTACTTTTGAGCTCTAGAGTATACTAGTTATAAGTGGTCTAACTTTCTGTACTGTTTGTAGCACATCTAGCTTTCACAATCAGCTCCCTTTATCTTTATATATTTATTTTAATCCCCAAAATACAGGTGGGATTGTTTCATTTTTCCCCAGTCTGATTAAATCCTGTTTTAAAAACTGTTTCTGGGATTGTATTCTGTAGATTTGCGCCATGTTAAACAGTGATGGCTTTTAAATAGTTTATCAACCTTTGGAGTTTACTTCAGAATGGATTTTATAGCAAGTAAGCAAACAAAGGAGGGCAATGGAACAAGCTAATTCCAGCTACATAGCGCTCTTTTACTAATCAAATGCAAGTGTAGACATTCTAATGATGGACAACTTATTTTCCATTACAAATTTATTTTTTTCCATAGATTCTCAGATTTATAATTTTGAAAATGTAAAATGTCCCTTAAAAAAAAAGAAACAAATCCAGAGATTCTCAAAACACAAATAACATTCATTGGCCTGATTAGCAATATGTTTGTGCTACATTGTGTAACTTTTCCTGAAAAGCACACCTTGTCAGGCAGATCTACTTTATTTAAGAATAGAGCTTAGTTGAGAAATTTGAATTATTCTGCAGTGCAGGAAATTGCCATGTGGATGTATAATTTCTGCTGGTATATCATATTGCATCTCTATTATACTCTTATCTGTTTATGCATTCAAAGTTAATGTTGCTTACCTTTCAAATGCATTTTGATTCCAGGTTGTATATAGGGTCTTCATTTATGTGCATATTTATCAAATCAAGTTTCTTTTAAGGATCTAAGTATAAAAGGTGTTCAGAAATCCTTTTTTATTCATTTGTACTCTTTGTAATGCTATGACAATGTGAGTAAAATTGCAAAATAATCTTGTAGTTGAACATAGAATGCCTATCTCAGTAACTCATCTTTACTCTTAATCATATGGCAATTGTTCCCTTATCTTTTCTTCCCTCTTTGTCAGGTATTACTGCACCAATTTAAGTTCACCACACTTTCCATGAAATAATATCCAAAGGTCATCATTTTAAGGGAGTATACTGTTCACAGAGACAGATTTATAGATAACCAAATTACTGGCACAAGATAGAAAAGCAAAATATTATAGTTAAATTCCATGCAATATTAAAACAATTTAAGCAGAAAACTTTAGATGCTCTTTATGACTTTCTCTTTATGGGAACACGTACTTTCTTAATTCAAACTAAGTTTTCTTAATTAATATTTTAAATGCAAGTATGATAACTTATCTTTTTCCCCCTGTACTATATCCTTCTGTAGGAAATTACTATTGCATGACTGAAGTGAGGCAAAACTCAATTAAGCTAGTTTTTCAGAAGTGTTAATAGCATTGCATTTTTTTTCTCTCTCTACCGTTGTGTTATTGAATCATTATTAGATTTATTCAAAGCTGGTAAGTTGTTTTAGACAGTGAATGATATCTAATTGATAAAGTGATAAAAATATGACAAGTTACAGTGCATTTTATTGATCAGATACAGGTAGCTCTCAACTTATAACAGTTCATTTAATGACCATTTGAAGTTACAACAGCACTAAGAAAAGTGATTTATAACCATATTGCACATGACCGTTGCAGCATTCTCATGGTTACATGGTCAAAATTCAAATGCAATTGACTCATATTTATGACGGTTGCAGTATCCCAGGGTCATGTGATCACCTTTTGCCACCTTCTGACAAGCAAAGTCAATTGAGAACAGATCCCTTAACAGCCATGTTACTAACCTAATAATTGCAGTGATTCACTTAACAATTGTAGCAAGAAAAGTCATAAAATTTACTTAACAAACGTCTCAGCAACAGAAATTTTGGACTCAGTTGTGGTCGTAAGTCGAGAACTACCTGCATTGTGTCGTGAAATGGCTTAAGATCAATAATGCAACATTTTCAGTTATAAATATTTGTTTTAGACAAATGTTTGCTTGTCATATCTGCTAAAGAGAACTTGGATTTCAGGGATCGTCAATTATCCTTTGAAGGCAGTCATAACACCTTATGATTTTATGGGAGCAGAAGTGAAATACTTACAGAAGAAACTAATGTTAAACCTCTTGACTTTAGACAAATATAATAAAGTGACACATTTCCTTTGTTCTAAGTAGTCTGTGGAAAACAGATCCATTCCAGTTCAAAAATAGTCTAAAAATGGTCCTGGTTACTGTAGGAAATTTGTTACTTAATGAATTACTTGCCTCAGGCATTTGATTGATATTTCTTTCTTTATTGGCAAAATTTAATACTACCAGTAATGTAATTGCCTGACCAGTGGGCCAGATTGGAGACAGAGTGGTTCTTATCCTATCTAAGTGGTCAATATTAGAATTTTATGTTCAATTTCTTTTCACATGTAGATAGTCCTGGCAATTGGGACCAGAATTTCCTCCACTAAGCAATATGATTGGAAAGGACAATGGCACATGGCTGCATTGCTTAGTGTTTGCAGTTCTGAAGTCCTAGTTGCTGAACTCTTATTGGTTCACTTAAGTCCAAGTTAGACAAAGAAATGGGTTCATAAACCATAGTATTTAAGGTAAAGTTCAATCTTTTCTGTTCAGGATAAAAAACTAGATACTGGACTCTAGATATAAGAACACTGACGGTACTTACAATTACTTACATACAAAATTTAAGATAATTCCATGTCTATATTTCTTAAGAAATTTGGGAACTCAATGTACTGGTCACTTTCAGATCAAGCTCCTCCTATGCATTTTATGTTGGATGGCCTTTGAATTGTTCAGAAGTTGCAACTAGTACAGTATTGCACACAAGAACAACACAGTGTAAAATAAATGACTAACAGCAGTTTGATTCCTATAGTAAAATTTTGGTAATAAGCATTGGTTTAATGTTTGAAGCCTTTTAACTAAGGCTGCCATATCTAAGGTACAAAAATCTGGATAATCTCTAAATGGCAGTAAAGAGCTTCACTGCAGTAATTATACAGATTTGTGCAGCTCAGATGTGATAGTTCTATTTAAACAACCTTTCAGTTTAAATCTGCCTTCCATTGAACCTGTAATTTACTCCTGTGGTAAAGACATTTTGTTATTCCTTATGCTTTGTGCTAGAGTTGTCTTTTATCTGACTATACACGTTTTTGTATACAGTACTGCTTCATGAAGATGTAGTTCAGATAAGCAACTGAAAATATGTTTTGAGAAATCCTACAATATTATTTGACTGTGCTGTTATAGGTTATTTTTAGTAATATGGTACAGGCAAAGTATTGAATATGTTGCTTTTCTATGCAGAAACTTTCAGGTGCTGAAAGTTTTAAATTTTGGATGTATAAAGTGGACTGTGAACATTAGGAGTGGTGGTAGTTGTGATTAATTCTGTGGTGACTAATTACTTTACAGGAATGGGCTGGGGGAGGATTCATACTATTGTCTTCTTGTTGCATTAATTGATAAGACAATTTGTCAGGTAGCAGTATTAAACCAGTGAATAAAAATGACTTTTTGGTTACAACTGTAGTATTATTGATATGTAGTATGGGGTGTGCCATTATAACAGTTTGCTCACTCCATTATTACTAAGCCAGGACTTGAGTTGAATCTGGTTTTGTTGAAGAGTAGACCATATATATGCATTAAGTGTTTGTTATTTAGTGCTAAAAAATAATAGTATGATCATCCTGAGCATGGCACAGGGAAGAAGCTCAAATCTTACCATTCTAGACTGCAGGTAATGGAATAAGGTCTGGAGCTATTGAAAGGCAGATTCAGATTAAATACTAGAAGGAACTTTCAAACAATAACATTAGAACCAGAGATTTATCAGGGATGCTTTCATTTGGATTCCTGCACTGGGCAGATGGTTAAATTCGGTAGTTTAAATTATATTTTCCAACAATATCATTCTCAAATAGCTATCGGAACATCATGAAAGGTTACAATCTTTTTTAATATATATGTATTTCATAGCTTATGTGGCAAAATTTATACTGAGTCAGTTTGTCATAGAGAGGTGTTAGTTATTATATAGACCAAGCTTATATTGTGATGACAATGCTATAAAAATGGTATTTAAGACAACTTTTTCTTATGGACTTCTGAAAGCTATTACAAGTTTCCTTTGTTAAGTTGAAGATAATATGGTAATTTACTGAATCTGAATTCAAAAACTGGTAATTGTCAAGGTTAGAAGCGAAAACATATCTTCAGTATTCTTTAACATTAATTTAGATCAATAAAAAATTAATTTGGAGATACAAATTTAAAGAGAATAAATTGTATCATTTTTGCTTAAGTCAAGGTATCCTTAAAGTTATAGCAGAGATTAATCCTTTTACATGTGATGAACTTAGTTGCCAGCTTTTTCTGAAGGTAAATAGTATCTATGACATATTCAAGAAAAATAAATATTAGAATATTTGAACTGACTTGGAGAAATGATATGACACATGTTGTAATTTCAATGTGTAAAATGTTAATGGATGCTTTTTTGCAAAAATGTAGTTACCATCATTTCCACAATTCTAGTGAGATCTAGCATTGTACTATCTGCATCGAACGTAGTAAGGGAAGCTGGATCCTGAAGCACTTCTTACTTCTATTATTGAAATAGTGACTTTCTTGTTTGTCTGTTTATTTATTTAATAAATAAATATATTCCTCCCCCCCCCTTCCAGGCAATTTTTATGATTCCCACAAATCCCCCTCCAACATTCCGGAAGCCAGAGCTTTGGTCTGATGAATTCACTGACTTTGTGAAGAAATGTTTAGTGAAGAATCCTGAGCAAAGAGCTACTGCAACTCACCTTCTACAGGTCAGTACTGTATGCAGTTATTTTTTTAAAAGTAGCTATCAGCCTGGGAAAGTTTGCATGTGTGCTCAATAAGATGAAAATCTCCCAGTTCACCCCCACTGAATTACTTTTTCTCTACTTAATAGCTGACAGAAAATTGTTCAGAGTTTCCCCATGAGTAAGGGGTTCACTGTAATTAGTTTCTTGAACTGCTTGGTAAGCAAGAAAAGGAAGATCTCTTAGCAAGTGTTGATTCTTTCAGAAAAGCAGATCTGAGGAATCCTTTTGATTTGCCCAGAGTTCTCCACCTATATGGTATTCAAACCATATGTGTTTGTTTTGAACATGTTACATTTATGGTAATGCTATCTCTGCAGTCAGTATTACTGCAGTCGGTGGTCAGTGCTGTTTCCTACTCCAAACAGTAATTTTTTGAATAATTTTCACTAGCCAGAATTTGGATACGAATTATCCAACCCTTTTCATTCTCATTGTTTCTTCTTTTCATCCTTCCTTTTTGCCTGTGTCACCCTTTCTTTTTAGTTTATATTTTTTATATTGCATAATAAACAGATATTTGTTCTTTGTGCTAATTTTTATTTGTATATTTTATCTAGTTATAATTCTTTTAAGACTTTGCTCTGTAATCTTTTTCTTTTGGCAAAGTCAAGAGAAATGATTTCAAAAGCCCCTCATTTTCTGGTGATTTTTTGGGAGGGTCAAGTATAGCGCTGGTAGCAATTATGTTACAGAAGAATGTAATTGTTATACAGAAATGTTATCTATATCAGAGTTCCCCAATCTTTCAGGGTTGGTGGCCTGGAGCGGTGAGGGAGTGGGGGAAAGAAGGGATGGTTTTGTGTGTGCGGGTGAACGCATGTATGTGAGCATGAACATCTATTGTGCGAGTAGGGCTGTGAGAGCCCACAATGATGCTTGCGCAAGTGGGGCCATGAATGCCTGCGATGCTCGCATCAATGGGGCCATGAACACCTGCGATGATGCTCACCTGTGACTCTCACAGCAATGCTCGCATCAATGGGACTGTGAATGCCCACAATGCTTGTGGCGTCGTTCGTACGAGTGGGGCTTTGCACATGCATGCACGCACACGTGCACAGGCCAGCTATTCACACGGCTTAGTGGCCAATAGCCCATAGCCATGGCCCACAAGCTGGGCACCTGTGATCTATATAACAGTTCTTTGTTATAATAGATGTGTGCATTAAGTGGAAAATCAACAAAAAAACATTTAGAAAAAGAAAAGCAGTCTCTGGACAGTACAGGAACAAAAAGAGCATAATTTTACTGTTGTTAAACTTGGGCAAGTTCATTTTTCTTAACTGATGTCATGGCCTCTAATACACAGCAACATTTAATTTGGCAATGGCAAAGTATTGACTATATAATATGAGCGAAAAAGACCACTTTCCATATTGTATATCCACAACTGAAAAGAAGCTTGTATCTCTGGAACTCATGCACAGTCTTGTGGGAGGGTATCAATGCTGTGTGCAGGAAATGAGTAATGACTTTTAGGGTAGGTATCCTGTGAAACTCCCAAATGTTGCTGAGCTTCAGTTTTCAACATCCTTCACCACCAACTGTTCCTAGGGATGTGCTCTAGTAAGGGCCAAATTCACAGTACTGATAGAGAGGATGGGCGTCTTTTTAAACAGGAGTATAAGTTGTCTTTAAATAAATTTGTTTTTGTTGTATTTCAACTGCCCATCTCGATGATTTTAATTTTGCTTCATTTATATTTCATCATTGCCAATAACTCAGTGATTTGTATTCTGTTGGAATACAGGTTTCTCATGCTATAGTGGTTGCTCTGCTTATGACTGCTAATTTGCATTGTCAGCTTGTTAAAATGAATTAAAGTAATATAACTGAATGCATTATAAAGTTTATTTTTCTATGTCAGGCTATCTTCTATTTGTTTATTTACCAGTTAATTCACATTTCCTTTGGACAATTATATCCTTAACTGTAAAGCAGTTGTGTTTTGTTGTAACATTCTTCTCATGGTTGCTGTTTACCTAAATAAACAAAAAGGAAAATCCTATTTAGTTGTAAAGCAGTTAAACAGATCATATGCTCTCTTATTCCAGATTTTAATTGCTGTCCAAAGGGAAATGCTCTCTCCTGCTGGTCTGTGAAGTTGATTGGCATGTTGTTCTAACATGTTACTTTATTTATACTGTGAATACAGATTGTCTGTAGGCTCCATGTTGTATAACCGTATGCGTTTATTTTCTAGCATCCTTTTATTAAAAATGCCAAGCAAGTCTCAATTCTGAGAGACCTGATTACTGAAGCTATGGAAATTAAGACCAAAAAGCATGAAGAACAACAGAGGGAACTGGAAGAAGAGGATGAAAACTCGGTGTGTGAAAATTTAATTAAGTTTTCAAATTACTTTTGGCCTGTTAAATTATCAACATATTTAAGTAATATAGTTCTGATTGAGAAGGATGCTATAATCACTTATTTTTTTTTTCTGAGTTTCCTTCCTCCTTGACAATCCCCAGTTCAAAAAGCAGTTTGTGACAAAAATGTTTTCTTGGTTTTTAACATTGATTTGTTTGTGTTTGTGTGTGTAGAATTTAAGTAGCACATGAACGACGATTTTCAGTTCTTTTTTTAAAAAGATTGTTACCAATTTCTTAGCTGATCTTTGAATGTATGGGAGAACACATTCTATGGGAGCATCTGCTAAAAAGAGTGAATGAAAGCAAAGATCCAACGTGCCCTCTCTCTAAATTGGGCTATGTTTTGCCACAGGTCAAATTATAGAGCTCTGTTTCCATAGTGTTCATTCATGTAGCTCAATAATGATAGGAAGCAGCATTCTAGGGGTTCACAGGAATCTTTCATGAAATACTCAGGGAGAAGGTTATATAGGTAGTTCTTAGGACCACAGTTGGGACCAGCATTTCTGTTGTTCAGCTGTTAAGTGTGTCAGATCTGATTTTTTGCAACCTTTTTTGCCACAGTTATTAAGTAAAGCACTGCAATTGTTAAATGAGTCATGCAGTCGTTAAGCAAATCTGGCTTTCTCTCATTGATTTTGCATATTGGAAGCTGGCTGGGAAGGTATGCAAATAGGATGCTGTAGGTACAGGCTGCTTTCCTAGCACCCAAATTTTGATTGCAGAACTGTGGGGATGCTGAGTCATTTGTAAGTGTAAGACCTGGTCATAAGTCACTTTTCTCAGTGTCTTTGAAATTTTGAATGGTCTCTGTACGAATGGTTGTAAGTCCAAGACTTGAGTATATTAGGACTAGAATTTCTAGGAAAAATAATAATAAAAGTGTACAAACTTTTAGTGACTAATTAGACATTCTAATAATTCTGATATGGTTAATTTTGTGCATTTTCTTTCTTTCTATTTTATTTTATTGTTTTGTTTTATTTTATTTTATTTAAAAAAAACATTTTTAGGAACATATTAGAAACAAAATAACATTGCCAGATACAAACATCAGGTGAATATATGTTAGGTGTAATGGAATATATCAGTAATTTATATCTGGTGGCTTAATCAAGATATTTACACTATGTTTTTTTATAATAATATGCTGATTTAGCAAGACATGACTCAAAATATTTGCATTAGAAAATTAGTTTAATTTTGCTATCTACCTACAGAGTACTAACAATCTTCCTTTCTACCTGATGAAGATTTCTCAATAATATGAAAAGCAGCGTAATTATCAAAGGTGAAAGGTGTGGCATTATGTTGGCCTGCATGCATTGATAAAATAAAAATTCTTATTCTAATCTTTCTTACTAGACATGCGACAAGAAGCTGTAACTTTTACAAACTGGTTAGAAAGTTATTAAAATTAGTTCTGATTTAAATATTTTAGAGACATGCATATAACAAAAAGAACTCCAAATTAATATTATTTTTCAATTTGTAAATAAACTTAGGATAGGTTTCCTTACTGTTCCTTGGACTTCATAAAAGTGCAGCACCCCTGTTACTAATTAAAGCAGGCTTCTGTGTGTGCCTCAAAGGAGATGCTCTTGATTTAAGGAGTGGATTAATTAAAAATGATTCTTAAAGTCTAAAAGTCTAAGTGACTCTTAAAGACTGAAACATGGCACAGGATCTAATTTCTTGAGTGACTGTCTATCTCCTATAGTATCTGTCTGTCCAATTCAATCTGACAGGGTTGATGTGCTCTGAATTCTTTCAAATAAGCAATGTCATCTATTGGGATCCTGATATCATGCTCTCCTTTGTTGTGGTGGCTGTTGTCTGGAATTAAGTTCCCTCTGAAGTCCGAATGGTCCCCACCCTGTTGGTATTTCAAAAGGGCGTGAAGATTTGGCTTTTTGCCCAGGTCTTTGGTGAGGATAAGTGAAGTCTCCTAGACTGTTTTCTTTGGTATTCTCCCATCTCTGTCTTTCCCATGTTTCTTGTTTTTTATTGTCTTTTTAAAATATTTTAAGTCATTTATAAATTGCTCAGAGTTGCTGGATGTCAGGTGACACATACAATTTAGTATATTTAATTTACTTTATTTACATAAGCAATTCTTATAATTTTTGAAGTGTAGATGTTTATTAAAGTAAAATGGCTATAATAATTTAAAATGATCGTTTTGAAAGCTTAAATAAGATACTTGTAATGTTTGAATCTCTCATAATCAAGAACCAGTTTCTTTCCTTTTAAAGCTGAGCTGGATACAGTCCCAAAAAACTTATAGCTTAGTTTAAGCATGCTACCAAAATAACTGATCTGATGAGATATGTTCTGGCAAATTGATATATTTTAATAGGAGCTGTAGTAATTGTATAGATTTAAAAAAAAATTACACAAAAACTGCAAGCTGCATAACCAACAGAAGGTCACCATCAATGTTAAATGTTAGAGTAAGCATTATTACACATATTACTAAAAATCTCTTATGTATTTTTGAAGTGTGATGAACATTTGATTCTGATGCTGGGCAGCTGTATTATGGAAATATAAAGGCATTTATTGCCTGGCAGCCTTCAAAAACATGTCAAAATATTTTTCTATGGATCATTTGTCAAATTAATACTAATCAAAATTTACTGGATCATATAAATTATTTTTATGTAAATTATCAGAGTATTAAAACACTTCAAGTTAATAAATTCAGGTTATACATTTTTATAATATTTGACAAAAAATTACAGTGATCTTTTCAGTGTAGTATACTTTCTGCCATGTGAGTGATTTCTACAACTTTATGTCCCTAAATAGCAAACACTATTAAAAGCAACATCAACAACTGAGGGAGTTTAAAAAATGGAGAACTTTAAAAAATTAAGTTTCTCCTCTGGGACAATAGAAATGCATCTAACGTGTAAAGTAGCTGATTGATACATGGTCCTTAGTGTAGTTTTATTGGAATCATTAGAAATTATGTATTACTCAAATAATCAATAATTGGATTCTTTTAGAGTCTGCTGGTTTAGTTCTTCCACATTATGCAGACTTGTATATATATATTCATATAGCTACTAAGGAAGTTTATAGAAATGCTGTAGTAACTATGTTTGCATTATTTTTTAATGACAGTGATTTGTGTTGAACAAGGTTTTGTTCTTATACTGTACAAGTTTCAAAAGTTGAACATTGCAATCTACTCAACTGTCTTTGCTGCCCTCTAGTGCACATTTTCTCTCTTAGTTTTCATAATTGCAAGGATACAAAGAAATAGTTAAATTTCTCTGAGAGTTGTTCAGAAAAGGTTTGTTCTGTTCTAATAAAATGTATCTGGTAGAAATGGTACCCAAGAAGGTGAATTGTATTTAATAGTGTAACTTTCAAACAAAAAAAATACAAATAAATTAAGAGAAAAACATCATTGATAAAATTAAGAATTAAACTTCAGCAACAAAATTTATTCAATTTCTACAGCTGTCCATCTCAAACAAGTGACTCTGGGCAGTGAACAGGCATAAAACAATTAAAAACAGTTAAAACATAATATAAAATTAAATATAAATGGAAGCTGAGAAAACATGTCATCATAGATGTCAACATAGCCAGGAAACAAGGCCTTTCATACTTTTGGAGCCTCAGGCATTCAAGCCCTTACAAAAAAGAGTTAGGGTCATCCTGAACTGGATCAAATTAGACGGGGTAGCTGTAGCTAAATTCTTTTTAAGTTTAATAAGAAAGAAATAATGTTTTTATTTGCCCTTAGAAAGAAATTAGAAGCCAGTATCATTAGTGAAAAATAGAGAATGCTTATTACCCTTTTTAAATTACTCTCAGTCTCTAATCCCTCTTAAGGCACAGTTTTCTCATGGAGTACAGTGCAGTTTTGCACATGGGAATTAGTAAAGACCCGGATCTTACTTTCTTGATGCAGCTAGTATGTTACAGATCAGCCTTGCTTATCAACTGCCTCATTTAGCAATCATTCAAACTTACAACAGTTAAACAGTTGTGACTAATTCTTGTATTGATGACTGTTGCAGTGTCTCACAATAATGTGATTTCCCCATTTCAGTGCTTCAGAAATGATGCACATTTATAACTGGTGTGCAGCCATGTGTTTGTCATTTGTGTCCTTCTCAACTGGCTTCTGGCAAGCAGAATTAATGGAGTACGCTGAAGCACTACTGCAAGTTGTGGTCACATGACATCTTAACAGCTGCAGTGATTCACTTAATGACTGAATGGGAAGTGAGGTCATATGCACATTGCAGTCATGTCATATACATGTGCAGCAATAACATTGCTGGTCCCAGTTGTGGTCACTATGTAAAGATTACCTGTAATGAAGATTGTCTGATTTTCCTGGATCAGTGTTTGAACCATTAGTGAACAAACTATTACCAAAAAGAAGGAAATGGTTTATATGTTTAGACCAGTCCTGGTATCAATTGAGCACACACAATTCATTTTTGCTTGGATTGAGATTTAGATTCTTACCTGGGTTTCTGCTGCTTTCTCTCAAATTGAAAGTAGTATTACATTGTCATCACCACCAAACTCCCTCTTTGGGACATGTGTGTGAGGCCACAATGCAAATACACAAAAAAAAAAAAAGAAAGAAAGAAAGAAAGAAAGAGAGAAGTGTTTATCTTGCAGTACTGCTTTCATCAGACATTTCATATGATCTCACCGTGTATGCTGCTGCCTGGATACACTTCTTTCTGATGTCTAGACAATGATTGAGGTCTTCTAACTGGTTAAAAAAAGAAATACCATGTTTTCTGTAAACATTTCTTAAGAAAATCTGTAAAACTCTCTCTCCCCCCCCCCAGTAGATGTTAAAAGATGTAAAGAAGTTACTAAACAATTGAGAAATTCTCTAGGTCAAAGGTGTGCCAGTTCTGTTTGGTTGCCATTATGTACCTCTTGTTCTTTGAATGTCATGTTGGAAGCTGCACAGTAAGGAACACTGTATTTTTTTAAATGCAGTTTTGTGTCTATAAATAATAGAGGATTTAGCAAATGTATATAATAATAAAGATTATACAATAATATAATTTTTGAGAAAATGATACATAAATTATGTTATTTGTTGTTTATCACTGAATGTATGTATAACATTGATATGTTGCTAATTAGATTGCCATTTGCTATTTAAAAGTATCCAGTATATTCTCATACATTCATAAAATGAAACTTTGTTTTAGTGAGCAACCTATTGTTCCTCTGATTGGATATTTTCATAACTCAGCAAAACCCCCCATAAAATTAGAGCTTGGCATGTTATGAAAAGATTTACTAAATGCAATCCATTAAACTTCCTAAATATTAAATAGAATTTTTAGAATTAGTCATCATTTATTTATTTGTCAAATAAACATTGTACTTATGTGAGCATATTCTTCAGTAGATAGAAGCCCCTTCTCTTTATTCAGCAAAAGCTTAGAATTTAATCTACCACAGTTTGAGAAAAAAAAATAAGCTTTTGCAGTTAAATAATAATTCATTACAATTTTATCTCTAATTTAATTTAGAGGAACTTTAAGGAAATGCATTAATGTTTTAAGATAATTTCTTGCAAACTAGCAGAGGCTTCTCATAATCTGAAAATTCCAGGTTTATTAAAGTTTCTTTTTATGAAGAAAGTATTTTGGATTTTAATCACTTTCTTCATTTCTTGTTGAAAATGGTACAGTAGAAGTGTACCATTGAATCAAAATCCAATTAATTATATAAAATAAACATTTATGACAATAGTTTGACATATTTACATATGACATTTTATAAAATAATTAAAAGAAATAAAAAATTATATTCTCTTTAGAAAATGTTCCATAGAAACAGAGGGTGACATGCAATATTATAGCAATGAATTTTGGAAATGATGATTAAGACTAGAAAAGAGAATGAACAGAAAATATGGGTTAAAAACATTCATAAGAGAAATAGCAAACACAGAAAAATCGTGACTTTTTATTCTAGGAAAAAAATGAAGGCAGAAAATATTAGCAAACAACAGAAGAAATATATAGGTATTTGGAATACTCAAGAAGATGTAAACCATACCTTCTTGACTTCAAATAGCTGGAGTCTCAAATGAAAATTTTGAACATCTAGAAAATAAAATTAATGGAAATGATTTCTCAATTAACAGGTTGTCAGTGTTCAAGTTATATATGAATTCAAATTGATTTCACATTTGGAGTCAGTGGCTGACATTCAAAAAGAAATTAATTGTTTAGTTAATGCAACTTCAGAATTAGAATTTTAAGATTACATGCAACTAACATTATATTATAAATAAACTACAAATCTTTTTCAGGGATGCTTCCATTCATTTAAAAAAATATTTTGTCAGTGCAAATATTTTGTACAGATGCAATTCTGATCCAGAGTTTTAGATTATGTTAATTAAATAACTATAAATATGAATGAGGTAAAATGTTCTTGATACTCTTCAGTGTGAAAAATGAGATGTTTCAGCTAATAAATATGCTTGTATACACATATAGACAGACATCACAACCTCTGTGTGTAAAATGAAATTTAAATGCCTTATAAGTAAGTCATGCATAGAATTGCAGTTCTAGGTGTCTGTTTTAAAAGAAGTATCATTTGTTATGTGTTATTTGGTTTATCTTTTATTTTAAAATGCAGTAATTTTATGACTCCCTCTAAGGCACTTGGATTATTTATTGGATTGTATCCAGTTGAAACTTTACATAGAAAAATCTTCTGCTCATGTGAAGTAAAGCATTCAGGTTTTACTGCTTTAGCTTGCTTATTATGACGTGCCCCAAACAGCACAATACACTGTTCAAATATAGTTCCTAGTGCTTGGAAGCAACTCTTTGGAAGCAGTTAGTTGCGTTATATAGACAGAATTCTTTGAAATAAATACCTTCTCTTACATAGGTATGTTTACTGCCACCTCAAAGTTATCACTGGACATAATCCAATGTATGAAAATAAAAGCAGTATTTATATCTCATTAGGACAGGGAAAAAGAAGAAGAAGAAGAAGCAGGGCTTAAGAGGGAAAACAGTGTTGAAGAGGAAAAAAAAAACGTAAAAGACCAGTGTCGTTCTATTTTTAAGCAGGATTTGTCTTACCCTCATAAATGATAATTTAAAATATTCTGTGGGTATCATCTGGTATAGTATTTCCTAAGATGCTTCCTCCTTGTCTCCAAGAACTAAAGAATGTTTCTCATGACGGGATGCATGGCATTCATTAATATTTGATTCTTTTCTATCAGTTATTGAAACATGTAGGGCATTTTGTAAACTTGCTGATGTCAGAATAGGTTTTGGAAGCATACTTGGTTGATCTCATTTGACCGCCAAAGCAAACTGAAGTCAGGAATTTTTTTTTTAGTCGACTCATCTAAAATTAGACGCTTACTTGAAAGGTTTTATACAAGCAGCTCTTCTACATTCTGATGTTTTTTTTGTGGACAGTAGAATGTGCCCTTGTAAAAGCACTTAAGGCATAGAACAGCATGTTAGTCCTTAAATAGCTTAGATTTTGTGCATATCCTCTACATCTGACTTCAGAAAGAGAGTAGGATTTCCTAATGATGTTTTCAAATGCTTCTATTCCATATGGGTTTTATGATTCATGATCTGGATTATCATCAGTTCTCTGTTTTACATTCTTGGCACATTACTGCCACTGATTGGAAATGCTTTTGTATTCTTTGCTGGAATTAACTCTGTTCCACAGTCCTGAAGCATCTGCTCAGCAGATACTTTCCTACAAAGCATCAGCAGGTTTTCTTCTTGCCCCTTTTATCATGACAAATGCTTTGTATACAAATGAGAGAAGTTGCCTTGCCAGTTGAGATGGATTTTTGAAAAAAAAAAAAAAAGTTTAAATTTACGGAGTACTTGTCCACTATAATCTTATGGCTATTCCATAGGGGGAAAAGAAAAAAGAAAAAAAATGACTCTGTTGGAATAAGTAATTTTCATGGAGAAAGTTCCAGATTCAGTCTTAATAGTGTTTGGTTCAAAGACTCTGAAGCAGTAGAGCTGGAAAATTTAGTTGCCCGAGGTCCTGGAATGCTAATAAATGGAATCATACTAATGACCCCATAATATGATTTAAATTTTGTATATCAGTTTTCCATGTTTTTGAGTTTCTGCTATGGCTTTGTAGAAATATATGCTTTAGTGTTACTAAAGGATGTTTCCAAAGATGCTTTGGATTAACTTGGTACAGTGAGCAATAGAATGAGCACAAACTGGACTGGACCCAGTCTTACTCAGATGGTGTTGACCCATTAAAATAAATGAGAGAATAGTTTCATATTAGCAAGTATTAATTGATTCAGGTAGATCTTTAGGTATGACTAAAAATGGTTCAATCTAAAAATAAAATTCTTTTTTGGAGAGAAAAAAATCAAGTTTTTGTTATCTTTATTATATCCTGCCAAACCTTTAAAACTCTTGGCAGCTTACAAAACTTTCTTTGTTACCTTCTGGGAGGAGGCTTCGTGGTATCTAAAGCAGAGCATCCAGATTCAGTCACAGTTTTGTTCCATACAATATTAACCTTGTGAACTCTAAAGCTTCCTCCTTCCGTTATGTATTCAAGATGGATAGTGATTAATATTTATATGTTACTTAAATGTAAGGGTGTAGGTCTATACATATGTTGTATATAATATGTTTAAATGTGTGTTATGTATGGGTACACTTTGAGAGCAAGCAACTAAATTTAAGTCTTAGGCATTTCAGTATGTTATATTCAGTGAGATTTATTATTTATTTTTATTACTATTTACTGCAAAATAATAAAATAACATATTATCTCTTCAGTTTTTAAGACTGCCCACACATCAAGCAACTCTGCATAGCTTATAAGATTAAAAACATCAACATAAGAAAGAACACCCCTCCCCCCCAAATTTACAAGGAATAGAATCTTAAACTATTTATTCCAGCATATTACATTGAAAGATGAGGGGGGGGAGGCTTGCAAAGTATCTTCATATGAACAATACGTTCCTTCCCAAAGTATTTGGGGAGTGGTGGCCTGTAGAAAGACTTTGTGTGGCTGTTATGAGAAAAGGACACAGCTTGGGAAAATTCCTTGGAACATCTGGTGTTGGCCCTTCTAAGGAATGTTTCTACTGCTTTTAGGTGTGTTTTGCAGCAATATGTCTTATAAAGTACTCTTTCAAATGCTTTGCAGTGCTCTGGTCCTCTCAAGGCCAGTGTTCTTAACATCAGCATGTTTTTGAAGGTTATTTCTTTTTCTGTTTGCAGGATGAAGATGAACTCGATTCCCACACCATGGTGAAGACTACATCTGATAGTGCCGGTACAATGAGGGCCACAAGTACAATGAGTGACAGTGCTCAGACCATGATTGAACATAATAGCACCATGCTAGAATCGGATTTGGGGACCATGGTAATAAACAGTGATGATGATGATGATGATGATGATGAAGATGAAGATGGAACCATGAAAAGTACGTTTCATTTTTCTTTATAAAAGAAACATTCTAAATGCTTTTTATTTCAGCCATGCAAGCAGTGAATACTCACTTTAATTCAATTAAATGTTAGAATCAAGACCAGTACATCTCGGCTAATATAGCTACTAATTACATTTATGTGATTTGTACAAATTTAGATTAATCTGCATATTAAATTTTTAAAATTTTCCCTGGCAGCTGCTTTCCAATGGTTTGTTCACTTGAGCTACCAAAACAAAACAATGAAATCTACCAATATGTGGATTTCTTCTGGAAGGCAGTTCAAGTTCCCTACATTTCCATACTTGGAGTTGTAATTCCTTTGTGTGTTTTATGTTGTGTTATGGAAATCTATGTTTTCAACTGTTAGTGTTTTATTCAAGCTGGTAATGCAGCAATTTAATGTAGAATAAATGGAAAAATGACAACATGTGCTACAATTATAGAATGCTTTAAATTAAAGTCATTTTAAATGTATACCTACAATGCGGTACATCATTCAGCTACTATCCCATTTTGGATAAATTTAACTACACATATAATCTTATCACCAAAAGTTATAACTGAATAGTAATAATTATGTTTGAAAACACTCTTGAATAATACCTTTTAGTTGTTTGAGTTGATTTAATTGTCTGCAGGATTCTATTTTTTGTTAAACATGCTTCTTGTCTTCAGTCTACATTAATATATAGTATCTTCAATTATTCATTCGAAATTTCTGAGTGAATTTGCTTAGGTTAAAAGAAGATTAGAAGATTTTAGGTGCTGAATTATGCATTAATTTCTTGTGATACATTTCATTCTTTTGATTAATGTGTGGAGCATTATTCTGCTGGGATTCAGGTGGAAATGGATGGCTTGATTCTCAAAAGTATAAATTGCAGCAGAATTATCCTATATGATAGTTGTCTTACCATATGTCTGATGAAGCATATGTGATAAAATTGCTCTTATATAAACTGTTAGAATAAACCCATTAAGTTTTATATACAATATTAAAATTAGATAAAGTTTAAAACCTAGCCTTTTCAAAACATGTTTTGTGAAATGCATAATAGTAGAAGGCAATTAGACCCACAGCTATGGTGGTCTCCCATGGAGAATGAGACACGCACGCAAGTATCTCGGGATGGGAGCCCAGAGCTGACTCTAACACCCTCTTTTATTGTTACTATAGTTTTTACATCACACAGCGTAATCAAAGGACGTATATAGGGGTGGTTACAATATATCAAATAACAGACACTCTCCAGATGCAAGACTACGCAGGTGTTCTTATCAGACTCTGTCCAAAAGGCTGATGAATGTATCCTGTGTTTGGAGCAGTCCGTTTGTTATCTCAAGGACCTTGTGGGAGATGCCCATGGACATATTTGTGCAATTAATCCCACACACAGCTATATTAATTTTTCACAGTATGCCAGGGATTTTTATCTTCATCAAAAGATAACTTAGGTAGTCCTTGACTTAGCAACAAAAGGTCATTAAGCCCCTGCACAGTACCCTGACTTGTGCCATTCCCCACCCCAGTGTGTTTCCCCAAGCCACAAGCATCTCTTGTATGCCCCATGCACATTTTTCAATTTGTGCTGCCCTGTGTGCTTCCTCTGGTGCACCCCCACATATTTTGCCCCTCCTAGGTGCCTTTCTCAACCCATGCAGTACTTCTTGGGCATCCCCACTTACTCTTCTCAACCCATGCCATCCCTCTATGCACCGCCCCTGAACTGCAAGGCACCTCAACTGGCCCAGCACTGTCCCATGCATTCTTTGTGCACCCCCAACCTACTCAACCCATGTAGCACCTCTTGTGCACCTCCATGTACCATTCTTGACCTGTACCCTCCACACAGTGTCGCACATTTCCCCCCCAACAGAGCCACTTGTCTTCTGGCTTTGGACTTCTTGCTGGCTTCCCTGCCAACTTTCTCCCTGTAAGCTTCCCACAAGCAAAGTAAATAGGGAAGCCAGCAGAAATTTGAGTTTGAAATCACTCCTGTTCCAATTCCTGTTTTGCCCGCCTGTGGTTATTCTAAATACTACTATAATTCTACCTTAATACATTTATTAAAAGAAACTGGTTTGTTTGCTTTATGTAATTTTACTTTGAAAGCAGGGATTCTTAATAAAATTATTGTATTATTGCTATTATTGTAATAGGGCTGTAAATTTTTGATCTATTTCTTCCAAATGTAAGTCACTGAAAGTGACTTTTGAGTTGGGAATTAATTCTGATAATATATTTTTCTCCAAAATTCAGCCAAAGTAGTAATGAGCCAATTCTGAACATGATTATGAGACTCCGAATGTCAGACATCATCCTTTAATGTGAAACTTAAACATTTTATGAACATTTAATTAAGGGATTTCATGTACTTCTGTTGTATAATATTGTAATATTTTTATTTTATTTTTTTTTAAAAAGGAATTTCAAGAATTGGTATTACTTCCTCTTCCTATAGCGAATTTGTGTTTAATCATCAATAATAGCTTGAAAAATTGAGAAATAATATGCACCTGCTATTTCTACAAGAACATAGGATTATTTTTCCTTATGAAGGAAAATATATTTAGAATCACAGTTTTGCCTTCAGTACTTTGATGTATAGTTGGATGATTTTAAGAATATCTTAGGTCTTAAAGAACCAGATAAGGTGTTGTTTTCCTTTGGACAATTACATAATTATTAATTTTTAAAACCATGAATTATATGATAAAATAACTTTTTATAAAAATTAATTTAGCATTATTCATAAGTAAAAATTTCCTTGAGTTTTAACTTACTGACAGGTCAACAAGGTGGTGTCACTTGCTGAATAGAAAGGAATTAGATTTCAATTTAACTTCAGTGCATAAATTGGTTATCAGTTGCTTATAGTTCACTTATTTGTATACCGCTTTAATTAAAACATGATTTTGTGTGGTTCTGTTCTAATTGTCTTCTACCTAGTTGTACTGTCACTATAACATGTTATTTTAATTTCTAGTAAAAATGCATTAATTCTTTTAAAATTAATTAATGTTAACTTTCAGCCAGCATAATCACTTTGAACTCTTTGGTTTCTCTTCATATTTTGACTATTTTCTTATTTTCAAAACAGGAAATGCTACATCACCACAAGCTCAGCGACCTTCATTTATGGACTATTTTGATAAACAGGATTCCAAAAATAAGGCCAATGAAAACTGCAACCAGAATATACACGAATCTTATCACATATCAAAGAATGTTTTCCCTGATAACTGGAAAGTTCCCCAGGATGGTGACTTTGATTTTGTAAGTTCTTATGTACAGTTTGCTTTTCTAATGTTGATGGATGTTGTGTGGATATTGTTGATTTAATATTTTTGCAGGATACAAGTATATACTTCCATCTTTTTCTTTCTGGTTGGGAATTATGTGAATATGCTGTATATCTTTAGCGCATATTACATTATGCACTGTGTTAAACATACAGTAATAGCATATACCGTATATGCCAGCGTATAAGACGACTTCCGGAAGTGCTAAACTCGGCGCCAAAGATGGGGGTCGTCTTATATGCCGAGTCGTCTTATACGCTGGAAATACTGGTAGTTTCCGGCGTATAAGACGATGTTCTAGGAATGCGGCTCGGCGATAAAGACGGGGGTCGTCTTATACGCCGGGTCGCCTAATACGCCGGCATATACGGTATTCATACAGAATATTGCTTTCTGTAATAGGAGACTAAAATCTTCAAATAGAAGTAGCCTGGTCTTTCTCTTTGGTTTCCTGTCTCTAATCTGATAATCTCATATATTTGGGACTAAGTGTAATACTTTATTCCCATATTCTCTAAAATACAGTTCCTCTGTATGTGTGTTTAGAATCATTTCTTCCTACACTGGAGGAAAGCCTGTTTCAGTCCAAAGATTTTAAACTTGGAATCAGGAAACAATTTTTGAATTACTATGGAATATTAGAAAGTCTTTGAAATTATTTCATGTGCAGAAAACAGAAGAAAGAGATATTTGGAGATCCCTTCATTGTAATTATCTTACTTTATCCCCTAATTATTGTAGGACTTCTGGAGAAGTATGGAAGTTGTATTGCAGAATAAATAGTCATTTTTTAAAAATAGTTTCCATTCCTAAAAGCCTTTGCTGAGTTAAAGATCTTTATAATGTTGAAAGACACAATTGAATACAGTCTATTATTTAACATGCAGCTCTGAACTGGAAAATACAGTTGACAAATAATTAAAATTTACAGTACAATTTTTCAACCAGACATTATAGTATTATTTCTCCTCCTTATATCCTAGCTGTTTCTTTTTTTCCCTCACTGAAGAAATTAATGTATCTAACCTCTCATTAGGAAGTTAGGATATTTGTGAATATTCAGTGTTGTCATTACTGTCAATGACTTATAGATTGTCAGGGAGAAATAATAGACATATTTTTAAATAAGTATTTTATGTATATTGTCAATCTTTCAGAGATTCAATCATTTTTGACATAGTTCAATATAACATGGGAAATTGCATTACTGGAAAATCTCAACTGGAAAAAATGCTATACTTGCTGAGTGTTAAAAAAGTATATCAGTAATTTTTTAAAAATATATTTTTAAAGAAGTATAAAATATTTGCTCCACTGTTCTCTATTCATAAGCAAATATTTTATACTTCTTTAAAAATATATTTTTAAAAAATTACTGATATACTTTTTTATGCAGTTTATAAAAAATACAAGTAAGAATTCTGCCCTTTCTCTTTTGTCAATTTTTCCCCTAATGAGATCTGATTAATATGTTTTTTATCAGTAAATATAATCGAAAAACATTTAATGGATATTTGACAATGGAATATCAATTTAAATTTAAACTGGAAAAGTAGAATAATATTCAGGATCATTCTAAAGTTATTAGTTTGTATCAGTCTCATTATAAAGAGAGGGAGAAGATTGATTTTGTTTGCCAGTAGTCACTTTGGGTTCAGCAAAATGCAAGCAAAACAAAAGAAAACAAAATCCATTAAAATTATGTCAGATATAATCAACTCTTATTTAAATTAAATACAGTTATTTAAAGTAACTGTAAACTACATTGAAAATCTTGCATGAACTTAATATTGTCAGAATATACATAAACTTAAATATTTAAGTCTCCTTCCTGCAGAGTATCAGGAATCCCTTCTGATCATAATGATAAAAATGTGAATAGTTTTTTTTATTGAAAGCTATTTATTTTAACACTCAGCAAGTATAGCATTTTTTCCAGTTGAGATTTTCCAGTAATGCAATTTCCCATGTTATATTGAACTATGTCAAAAATGATTGAATCTCTGAAAGACCTGATTGTTCAGGATAAGCCTTATTGCAATTTATATCTTCTAATCAAGCCATTGAATGAATCTTTCTAGTAAAAGTCATTTTGTACATATACTTATGTAGAACTGAAAAGAATCTTTACAGAATGGAAGGAACTTAAAGAGAATTTTTAATACAGTGTACCTTGCTCTGAGATAGTAATATTTATTCCTTTCCTTTAGCACCATAAATGTGTAAGGCTATTTATGTACAGTATTTAAATTTTTGCAGTTTGTTATAACTGCAATCAACAGGAGATTCTGCTTTGCAGATCTTTCCAGTTACCTAGTTCCTAATGTATAGTAAAAGGTTTAGCTGTTCTAACATGGAAAAGGTAGCATATGAGACTCTGAAATGCATTAGTAACCTTTATAAACATTAATTTGAGAGTGTATTGTCTTTCTTTTAATTGTACAAAGGCTAGAAAGAAAAAAAAAGTAGTAGCATCCATGGAGTGGGAATAGGAATGAAAATGGTCCAAATAAAGATTATGGTAATATAGTTGAAGCTGCACCTCTTTTATGTGGGGATTCAGTATCACAAATATGTGCAAAGGAACAGAGCTTCAGTTATGCTACCACAGCGACCTTGGACTAAAAAGAAATGCATTTCAGGCAGCCCTCGACTTACAACCATTTGTTTAGCGACTGTTTGAAGTTATAACATCTCTGATGATGTTACCTAGTTTGGGTAATGAAACATCTGCCAGAAAACAATCAAGCTCAGACAGCACCAAGGACTCCCCCCCCCTTATGACTGTTTTTCACACTTGATCATTGCTGATCAAAAATTGAGACACTTGGCAACTGATTCATATTTATGATGGTTGCAATGTCCCGGGGTCATGTGATCAATTTTGCAAACTTCTGACAAGCAAAGTCAATGGGGAAGCCATTACTAATTTAACAGCAGCTGTGATTCACTTAATAACTGTGGCAAGAAAGGTCATAGAGTGGGGCAAAATTCACTTAACTGTCTTGCTTAGCAACAGAAATTTTGGGGTCAATTGTGATCAGAAGTAAATGTTTTTTCTTATGTAGTTCTAAAGCTGAAGCAATCATGTTCTATAAAATCAGTTTAGTATATGTTCTTTTATTTGAAGCTGGGTTTTTTGTATTTTTTAAAGCCTTGTATGTATCCTATGAACAATTTATTATTTGTATTTCTATTATTGTTTTGACAATAGATCCAAGATAGTTATAAAATAGGCATTAGCTAGAAAAAGATGTAATAATGCAAGCTGTTCATATTTGTATCATTGTTTTAATAATGGATCTAAGACATAAAACTTGCATTAGCTAGAAGTGATCTTTTTCAAATCCACATAAGTCATGGTCTCGAATACATATGGTATGGGCAAATGAAGAATTGGGACAGGATATAGAGACTATAGAAATAAAACCAAATGTATGGGCAGATTATAATCTGCTGGAAATAGTTTGGAAAGGTCGTAAAAAAGTAAGAAAAAGATGGGTAATGAATTCTTATATTTTGAAGGAAAAAGAATTTATTGTACAGACTAAAAGGGAAATGGATTATTTCTTTAAAGAAAACACAAAAGAACAAACATTGGTACAAATTATTTGGGACACAGCGAAGGCGTATTTAAGGGGACTAGCAATAGCTTATATAGCAAGGAAAAATAGGGAGAAAAGACAAAGGCAAAACATACTACAGGAAGAGATTAAAAAATTTGAAGCCAAACTACAAAAAGAGCCCCAGGATGAATCAATTGAAGTGGGAATGGCATTAGCCAAACATAAATTAAACATGATGGAGCAAGAAGAAAGAGTTAAAGAATTGAAATTGGCGAAACAAAATTTTTTTGAACATGCAAATAAACCTGGGAGATGGCTCTCTTACAAATTAAAAAAAGAGAAAGAGGGAAAAATAATTCAGGAACTTTATGATAGAAATGGAAAGTTACAATATAAAATGGACAAAAAGAAAGAAATAATTCAAACCTACTTTGAGTCACTATACAAAAAAGATGAAATAGACGGGGGAAAGATTAAACATATTTGAAAGTTAATGGTCTGCCAGAATTAAAAGAAGGACAAAGAGACATACTGAATGGGAAAATAACAGCTATGGAATTAAAAAGGGTGGTGCAAAAACAAAAAAATAATAAGACCCTGGGACCGGATAGCCTTCCGGGGGAATTATATAAAACCTTCCACGAAGATTTTGAAAAGATATTACTAGAGGTGTATAATGATGTGTTGGAGAAATCTAATCTACCAGACTCCTGGATAGATGCCATCATATCTCTTATCCCAAAAGAAGGCACAGACCCCAAACAGATTAAAAACTATAGGCCAATCTCGCTGTTAAATACGGATTACAAAATTTTTACTAATATAATGGCTGAAAGATTAAAGTTAATTTTACAAAATATAATACATCCAACTAAAATGGTTTTTTACCCCAAAGACAAATCAGAAACAATATTAGAATGGTGTTAAATGTCCTAGAATATTATGAAATACATTTAAGAAAACAGGCAGCTTTGATTTTTTTAGATGCGCAGAAAGCATTTGATAGCCTCAATTGGCAATTTTATGTTCCAACAGATTGAGAATATGAAATTTGGTGAGAAATTTAGTAACATAATAAAGGCAATATATAGAACACAGAGAGCTAGTGTGGTATTCAATGAAAAGAATACAAAAAGTTTTGAAATAAACAAAGGGGTAAGACAGGGATGCCCAATTTCACCTTTATTTTTTATTTTGATTCTTGAAGTATTATTAGTTCAAATTAGAGCAAATAAAGAAATAAAAGGGGTACAGGTCAAAGCAGAGGAATATAAGTTACAGGCATTTGCTGATGACCTGGTTTTCTTTATTGAGGAACCTATAGACAGAGGAAATATTCTTATGGGTGAAATAGAAAAATTTGGAATAGTGGCAGGATTAAAAATTAACAGAGAAAAGACTAAAATGT